ATAAAAATATATAAATAAATTAACTTGAAAAAGTTTAGAGAACTTTAAATTCTACTAACCAAACACCCCAATAATTGGGGCCCTCATCCTTTCTATTATGTTTTCGGCTAACTTTTCTATCCCCGGCAGCTGGGCGTAACAAAGAAAATGGCTTTCCCGGGTTATCACTTAAAAGATTATTTATGACATTTAACGTAAAGAGAAACGCAGGGGAGAGAAAGATTTTATGACGAGAAACATTTACATTTGGCAGAAATAAGAAAGCCCAGCAAATGGTAGCTTGGCGAAAATGTAATTTGCTAGAAAGATAATTCGTACAGAAAAGAAAACATGTTGAAAAGTAAATCTCGCAAGAAATATAGAGTGCTGGAAAAAAAAAATATCTCGGCAGGAATGTAGATTGATTTGAAAGATAAATTCCATTGTTGCCAAATGAAATAACAATTTGAACACTGATTGAATACAAACTAACATTTAAACAAAAGGCAATGGAATTGATAGAACTTTGTTGATAGAAATACAAAGTATGCTGGTATGACAACTATATAAAATTTGACACTTGAGTCAACAACACAAAGAACTTGCTGGAAGACTCTTTATTTTTTATTTTTTTGACAATCAATTCAGTTCATGAAGGCCTATAAATACAAGAGTAATGGATCTTTTCAGCAGCCTCGCCGTCTTATCAACTAGCCCTGCATTGTCCTAGTGAAAAAAAAAAAAATCCCCAAAATCATGCCCGTTGAAACCAACTTAAAGTGTCCCTAACTTTTTCCAACTGATTCGAACTGTTATAATTCAAATCTGGCTCTTCCCGATTTAATGAAATAAAATTATTAATATGAATGAAAGGAATTTAGTTTTTTAAAATAAAATTTTAAAATTTAATTTTATAAATAAAAAAATAAAATCTTAAAATTTTTTTTTATGTGCCCAATTTAATTTCAATCTAAATTAATTAGAATCTAAATATTTAATAATAAAATAAAAAAACATAAAAGCCAGATCCATTAGCATTCTTTAGAAACCCAGACCAAACCCAGGTTTCTAATAATCAAAGTCGAAAATCCCTTACCAATTATATGTTAGCTTGAGTGAAAGGAACTCGGTTATCGTAAAATAATATTTTAAATTCGAGTTTTATAAATAAAAAAAAAAATAAAAAGTAAAATTTTAAATTTGAGTCTTATAAATAGAAAAAATAAATGTTGAGAGAGTTTTTTTTTATATGGGATCTAATCCGGTTTGATTCCAAATTAATCAGATCTAATGTGATTTTTAAGTATCAAGAGGTTAGTACTAAAAAGTCAAAAATCCGTTGGAGCTCTACCTTAACCGGATCCAAAATCTATTTGGACTCCATTTCCGTCACATGGTAGAAATCTAATGCACCAGAATTTTTCTTCCCTTAACATGAGCTTAAGCACACCAGAATATAGACTTTATTACCCTTTAGTCATTGGATCTTCATCTTTACCATAAACACATGGTCTCATCATAAAATTTATTAATTGCGGTCTAAGCACCTAATATACTGAGGCAAATTCTGAAAACACTAGCTTGTTAGCAAGACTTCCTCCATGTATCACCCGACAATTAAATTAAGACTATATTTTTGTATTCCTTAATTGTAATTTTGATTGAATTTTCATCCAAACACATATATACCACTAGAAATCAAACAAGATTAACCATGCTCATGGATATGTTTCCCTCTTATAATCCACCATTCTGGTACGGAAGATAATTTCCTATACTTGAGATAATCCAATAACTATAGCAAAATCAAAATATCAAAATATTTTAACATGTTAAGATATCCATCAAGCCATCAATCACGTGGATCCTTAATTAAAATCCATGCGAATAGATGTCTTAATGGACATCCTAATTTTTCAGACACCCATGACTATATATTTCGCATAATAAATTTTTTGTCATAAGTATGTGATGAGAATTGAACAAATAAATCATATGAATATATAGAAGATATAAAAAGTAGCACTTAACTACACCCAATTGATTTTACAGTAAAAAAAAGTTAAAATCAATTGCAACGGCAACATAAGCATTTGACACTTTCTTTTATATAGTTTAGCCAATTTATTCCAAGCATCTTTGGTTGATTTTTCCTTCTTTATCCAAGCAAAAACCTTAGGAGCACATGGCACTTGAAGGGCGTGTAGAGGTTCAGCGTTCTTTCTCCTCTAATTAGCAACAGCCTCTTAATCGCTAGAAGGTGGCACCTGGCTAGATTCAATAACATCCCAGAGATTTTGTGTTAATAAATAGTTTTTCATGCAAGTGCTCCACGCATCATAATTTTTTCCTGAAAGAACTTCAGGAACTATCATGTTTGAGGTGATCATAGTTCAACCTACATATGTACCAAAAAATCATTACATAGAAAAACTAATCATATCATATAAATATATGTTCTTCAAAACATTAATTTCTACAACTAAATTATGATTCTCCATGCAGGTGGCCATAGTCAATTGTTCAAGCTGATTATAAAAGCATAGTAAACTTATAGAGAGGATAAGCTGAAGAAAAGAATTGAGCCCTTAATTCCTCCTCAAGCTGAAGCTTTAATTAAGAGTTCGTGATCACAGCAACTATAAAAGACAGACGAAAACCCTCTGTTTCTAGCATTCATCATTATCTCTACGACATTTCTAAAAGATTACAAACATAAGTACAAATGATGATAAGATGATTACAACCACGTGGGCGGTGGCTGAGCCAAATAAAGAGGCAACCGCTGCCGACAGTATTCAACTAATAATACAAATGAATCGAAGTTTTAGAAAAAAAAAAAAAAAAAAAAACAGCCAAAGCAAGAATTAATTCAACCGTAAAACCTTCAATAAATTTGGAAGGAAAAAATAGTTTGAAATCGCACAATCATCAAATGTAAATGTTATCACACATTCAATAATTACAGCTGCAAAACATAAATAGTTAAGCCATATGAATAGAAATATAAAACGGAGTACTTAACTACATCCTTCTCCTCATCATTTTCCTTGTAAATTTCATCCTTATAGATGATATCATTTTTTCTAAAAAGAATCTTTTCCTAATAAAGATTCCGGATCCATTGGTTGAATGCAAAATCTTGATAAGAAGCCAAGATTGCAATAACAGAAAGACAATCACCAGAATGCTGGCAAACAGAACTAGCGAGATGATTACCCAGCATTGTCCCTGTAACATGACTGAAACAGCAGCACAAAAAGCTACCATCATTGCTGCAACAGAAATTAGGAGTGCGCAAATGCCGATAATGAACTTGGTCAGCAATGACTTAAGAAAATCTTCTTCGGCATAGTGAGATGTGAAGATTCCTAAGAACATCGACACTGAAGTACATGAACTGAACAAAGAAATTGAGCTGACAGTATAAACACCATAAATAATCTTTTTTGTAGGAATATGGGGAAGCCAGTATCTTGATTATTACCGCCAGGAACACTAAAGGCTGCAGCAAACATAATGGTGATGATAAGGGCACCAACTACAGTATAAGATTGTGCTGTTTGCTTCATCCATTCTTCCCCTTCTTTTGCCAGTTGCTTGTGATCCCTACGAAACACTTGCTGAGGAGTTTCTCCATTTTGATTTACAAATTCTTTACACTCTGAAACAAAAAACTCTAGCTCCTGCACTCATTTGAAGAATGCACTAAGCATATATATAATGAAATTCAAGCATTGGATGAAAAAAGAAATCACTAACATAACGAATGATGTAGATTCCGCCTTATTCATCATCATTGGACCACCTGTATTACATGTATTAGACTTCACTAATTCACCAATCAGATTAAGGTGCAATGATTAAGTGATGTATGAGACAAAAATAGAACAGTGCATTTCATAATTGATGAAAACAAAAGGAAGTGATAGATAATGACCTTGAACCATTTCAATTCTCTTTGCATTCACATAGCTAGACCAGAGATATGAGCAAGCCAAGTGTCAGGAGCTAACTTCGCTGCCATGTGTAGCTCATTGCTGTTGTCCTTATCTCTGAAAACAATCAGATGTGCCTTTTGATTGGAGATATCTTGATTAGTTTCTATTGACGATATTTAATTGCATGCATGAATATGTCCCTTGAATTTTCATCAATGCATGAAAATATATCTGGACTAGTTGCACTGATTTCATCCAGAAACTCTATTATGCCATGCTTGACAGATTGGAAGAATGCTGGGATAACTCCACCCTCAATGAGTTCTCTAGCATTTAATGTTGATAATTCATAGCACATGTGATGCAGAATCTCATTTGCACATTTTTTATGGATCAACTTCTGTTCATATATGTGCTTCACTCCTACGTCAAAAATCAATATGAATAGACTAGGTACCAGAATAAGGTCTGGAAAAAAAAAAAAAGGAAAAAAAGGAAAAGGGTTTGATTAAGTACAACAGGTAATACCAAAGAAATTTTGGAGGATTGAACTCAACCCGTGCTGTTTCCATGGCACTGCAATATTAAACACCATTTTCCTAAGAATCGTAACTTAGACATTGATAAGATTCAGGCAATGATAAATGCAGAGCAGACAATCGTTTTTTATTCAGCTAACGAAAGATAAATTTTATCTAATAAAAAGGAATAAAAGTAGTACTTCTAGCACAATCTGTTAAAAGAATAATGAAAAAACTAGAAAATCTATGCTCCCAAGCACAAATCAACTCAGATAAATAAACTAATCTCAGATCAAGGGCACTAATGCAGAAACAACCAACAACATAGAAAAGAAAAGAAAAGAAAAGAACATAAAATGATGAGACTTGGGCAATATATCATCACTCCACACCAAGGGGACTCAAGCTAATGATTGATTTGCCATTCTAGCAGTGACAGAAGCTCAACAAATAGAACATCAATTATTGAGGAAAGGAAAATAAAAGAATGGAGGAATTATTTCCTTCTTTTGCAAACAAAGGGAAGGGTAAGGGTGCCCTAACTGGATTGACACCCTAGTGATGGCAATATCATACGAGACTTCCATGGGTTTATGTATCCATTTGATGGTGGTGTTTTTCTTTTTCTTTTTCTTTTTCTTTTTTACTTGAAAACTGGGGATCAGACAGGGTGGATTTTTATTGTCTTATAGGACGGGTAAAGTAGAGTATGTAAAGGATTTAACAGGCAATTGGAACAGAAAAAATGTTAGGTGCAGAATTGAACATGACCTAAAACTTTGAGAGCAAAAGTTCATACTTACCCTGTATGGTAAAATACTTAAAAATCTTTTAGAAGAATTTTAATACATAAAAACTAATATGCTACTTTAGTCTACTCATTTGCTTTGGGGCTCTTCATTTCTTAAATACCAAAGTTCAGTGGCATTTGATACAAAAACAAAACTTCAGATAATAAAAATGAAAAGAAAAAAAAGAATACCAATAGGAAAGGAAACTTATAGTCCTTAAACTATTCAAGGTTACAAAAATATGACATAATAATTTCTAAAATATTATTACTTCTCCCTTCATATTGTTGAAAAATTCTGAAGCAAAGAACACTAAGAAAATATAATATATGGCTTAGCTTAAAGATCTGTTACCATTTCTTAGGAGACAAAGGATTAAGATTTATATATTCTCTCCACCCCTCAAAGGCGTTTATAAAAGATAAAGAGAATAGATCAATTTTAAAGATATAATGTTAGTCTAATTGAATGTCTTCTGAGAATTCAATGCATACAATGGAACATACCTTGTTTTTTGACAGTTATCTGTTCACTTTGTCCTATGGTGAATAACAGAAACATGAACATTGCTATAAAGTGCAATTGGCTTTACTTTTATCCCTTCAATAACAACTGATTAAATAAGTGCACAAGTTGAGAGAGAAAGAGAGAGACTGCTTATGAAATTTAAATAAAGGGAAAATAATCAGATACTCAGAAATTTTAAAGATTAATAAATAAGGGTGCTATTACATTCTTCGTTACACAAGTAGTAATCGTATAGGAAAGCACATTATTTGACTTAGATACTGTTAATGAAATTTAAATATTATCTTATATATTCAGATATTCATTGTAGAGATGAGGAATCCAAACCTAGGACTTTCCAAGATATTAACCTGTTCTTGATCGCATCAGAAACTTATTGACCAATTAACTATCCTTTTGAAGATTTAGAAAATTTTCAATTTTGAAAAACATGATCTTGACTAGCAATCCATGAACCTACACTCTAAAGTCTAAACACACTACACATACAACTAAGCTCAACTCAGACAAGCCTTACCCACTCAAATAGCTGGTTAGAATAACTACATCAATATTTCTTAGCTTCTGTTAAGAACCAAATAAGTTTCAAGCCAATATAAAGTCTGAACAACTAAGTGAGTTCTTTCTTTTTCCTTTTCCTCCGCCCCCACCCCTTTGTTTGATTGGTGCACTTAAGAGGTAAACTGGTAATCAAGATTTAAACACTGAACCTCGGAGCTAAGCTATTTGTCATTCTGTCCACAAAATCCACAACCTGCCACTGATTCTAAAATATTAATCCTAGTTTTGAAGTGGATAGTTTGTCTTTGGCCTGTAGGGGTACACTTAATCTAGTGTGCTTAAAATACACTCTAATCACAAAGGGAAAAACAAAAATGAAGAAAATAAATTTGATCCAAATGAATCATCTTTTCCATGGAGGTAAATCTTTTTCCTATAGGTCAGATGGAGAAAAATACAAATATAAATAGCCACATACTGTAACCTTCTTTCAATTTGTTTATGGTTTTACTTCCCAAATAATATATAATAGTTGTAAAAGAAATGAGGAAGAAAAAGATGAGTGATGCTAACAAGAATATATCCATTGTTGCAAAATTGAAAGCTCACTTCCACTACGGAATAAAGAAGGTTGAGTAGACAATGTCACAACTGGAGTGGAGCCTTGATGATTTTTAGTGAATGCCAAGCGAGGAAAATTTTCAAGTAGGTCCAAAGCATAACCAGGTTAGAAGAAGTTACTTAAACAAAGTGTAAAAACTGATAAAAACAAAGGTTCGTTTGTAATTAACTCTTACCAAGAATTTTGTTAAGTAAACAAAAATGTAGTAGTAAGGAACCGTGGTCACCACTTTCTGGAGCTAGGAATTCAATTGGAGTCTGACAGTATAGAAACTGTGTCATATCCTTATGATGGTAGTAACATGCCTTCACAACAGGAACCATCCCATTCTTATCAGGGATAGTTATCAATTTCTGATACTTTGTGATTAAGCACTCTGCAACCCTTGTGGTTGACAGAACTGCAGCAATGGCAAGAGCTATATTACCCTCGTGATCTTGTGTTCCCAGTTCTTCTGTTGACACTATCTGCACCAATTTCTCAATCTTTTCCAAATCACCAGTCAGAACTACCATGTTAAGAATGGTGCTACCTTTGTGCATAAATCTTACAGTTGTTGTAGCTGGATGATTGTCTAAAAGGCATGTCACAGCATCCCAATTCCTTTCAAGATAAATGGCCTTGAGCAAGGGCAGATAAGTAGTCCTCTCAATGGACTCAGATGTCCCTGGCAGAAACATCACAGCAAGAATTTATATGGTAAATAAAGAGACCTATGAGAGTTCATTAACATATATAAAAGAAAAATCAATTTAAAATTGTAAAGAAATTAAAAGACATTCAGATAGCATTCCATTTGAAAATAGAAGGATAACCTGGAATGGTTCCTTGAAACCATTGGAGTACTTCAGATAACTCCAGTCCTTCCCTTGACTGCAGTCCACTATTTAGGAATTGCCATTTCCGCATTTATTCATATATTTCAGCTAATTTGCTCCAAGCATCTTTGGCTGAATTGATCCCCTTTACATGAGCAAAAATTTCGGGTGCACATGCAATTTGAAAGGCATGTAGAACTGCAGCATTCTTTTTCCTCCAACAATGCCCGTCTGCGGGATGCACATTGCTTGAACATTCAACAACATCCCAAAGATCTTGAGCAATTAAAAAGTTTTTCATACAAATGCTCCACTCTTGATAATTGCTCCTCGTAAGAACTTCAGGAACCATCACATTTAAGGTAATGTTTCTTGCCATTGTACTCTACCAATCAAATGATATAAAACTACAGTTCAATTAAAACTTTTCTGCAGCCAAAGATGGATTTTGATTTGTGTTCTACATCAATTCAGTGCAGTTAACAGAGTTTGCCATACTCGAATCGAATCCATAAAACTATAAGAAAATAAACAAAAAATTTAGCAGTTATGGCTACGAAGGTTAAGATGAACAAGATGAATTAAGAACTCCAGCTACAGTTACAAGAGTAGAACACTAATTTTCATGAATTCTTCTCCTTTTCTCTCATCACTAACTTCGTTCTTCCTGATTCTCTTCATCTTTATCTTTGTTTTTAATTTTGTCCGGCGAGGCGGCCAATGGGACCTTTCTGGTTCTCTTCCTTGCTTACATCTTTTTCTGCTTCCCTTTTGTTCTGCTCATTAAATTTAGAC